AAAAAAAAAAAAAAAAACAAAAAAAAAAAACAAAGCAAAACGAGATAACGTACCTCGTGGCTGGCAAAAGAACAGCCTTTTCAGGCTGTGGTAACAACCCAACCCCCCCCAACTCAGAAGCCACGAAAATTCGTGGCCTGGATCTCGCGGCTCACGACGTGCACGTGGGGATGGGGCTTAGGGAGCTGGCTAGAGAGGGCAAGAGAGGGAGGACGAGGCAGTTGGGAGGAGGAGGTCCTACTCCCAAACTGACAACTGCCCTCCTCGTTTTCAGGGGAGGGCGGTGCAAAAACAAAAGGAGGGTTGTTGCATGCAACAACATGCACCTGGCCAAAGAAAAAGCCAGATGCATTAAAAATTAGAAAGTTAGTTTTTTTTTTTGTCTTTTATTTATTTTGTGTGAGGACACTTGTCCTCACGTGAACTGTCAGGCTCCCGTTTTTGAAGGGAGCCTGGAAATTGAAGGGCCACTAAGGAAAAGGCTAGGTATAGCCTTTTCCCCGATGTATCTGCCCTGGGAAAAGGGTGTAGATACATCAAACTGTAAGGGGTTGTATCTTTCCAACCCCTTATCAGAAAAATAAAAGAAAAATAGATTTGGAAATGGCAGGAACCCAGCTATCTCGTGAGATTTCGAGATAGCTGGGAAAAAAAGAAGGAAAAATAAAATGGGGCAGTTAAAGAAACTGCCCCACACTGAGGCTGTGGCTGTGGTGCGGCCACAGTCAACCCTGAATCTTGGCAGATCAAGGGCTCACAGTGAGCCCGCGATTTTGCCTGGGGGCTGGAGTGACGTCCAACCCTCTTCAGCGACTCTATAACAGGCAGCTGCCCCCAGCTGCCACACAGTGCACTCGTGATGCCAGTGTGTGACGAGCACACTTGAGTGCTGCTGGCTGCTGGAGCTGCTGCCTGAGGTAACGTGAGGAGAAGCTGGAGACCTGCTGAGGAGTGGAAGTAGGAGATCTGGGCAGCCATAGCCAAGGCAGGGAGCACTCTGCCCCCTCCCCCCTGGCTGGTGTTGGACCCACGGGGCTGACCCAGGGGCACTACAGGACTGCGGCAGTACGGCGCTGTGGAATTTGGGCCTGGGGTCCAAATTTTACCAATTTTGGCGAACTATTTTTCCACTGTAGTGGGGAAGTGCTGCCAAAATTTTACAGCGGCGGCCAGGCGGCAGTTCTGTTTTTTTCTACGGTGGTGCGGAAGCGCTGCCGAACTTTTGCGCCGACGGTTCTGGTTTTTTCGAGAGTGGTGCGAAAGCGTTGTCGGATTTTGCGGCAGTGGTTTTGTTTTTTTCGGCGGTAGTGCGGAAGCGCTGTCGGATTTCTGCGGCGACGGTTCTGTTTGTTTTGACTTGGTGCGGAAGCGCTGCTGGATTTTTGCGGCGGCGGTTCTGTTTTTTTCGACGGTGGTGCGGAAGCGCTGCCGGATTTTTGCGGCGGTGGTTCTGTTTTTTTCGACAGGGTGCGAAAGCGCTGCCGGATTTTGCGGCAGCGGTTCTGTTTCTTTCGGCGGTAGTGCGGAAGCGTTGCAGGATTTTTGCGGCGGCGACTCGTGTTTTTACGGCGACAGTGCGGAAGCGCTGCCGGATTTTTTGCAGCAACGGCACTGTTGGTGGTAACGATAGTATTTTTGCACTGAGTGGTAGTGGGGCGTTGACACGGAGAGGTGCGTAAAGCAGATGCATTTTGAAGTGGCGTGAGCGTGACGCCGAGGAGATGTTGTAACTTTGGATGCAAGTGGCGGTAATGAGAAAACACCGCCAGATTATTGGAAGGTGATTGTGTGCTGAGAGAGTATTCTGGCAGGCGGTCGTCATAAGGGAGTGGTGTCGATCACTTTGCTGACGACTAGGTGCGACGACCTTCTCGTCAGGACAGCGTAATTCTATACGGTTTTCTTGAGTGTGCCGTTCAACTTCACTCAAGGTGAGTTAATCTGATTCAGATCCCTCCACACCTGTGTGAACCCACACTTGCTTGACCTTGGTCTTCTGAACGTTCATTGGAAAGGAAAAGAGAATGTGTGTTTGCAGGGAGTCTGACGATGGCAAGGGACCTGCATGGTGGTCTGTTTATGGTTTAACTTTATTGCAGGTATGACATGTGGACTGAGATGGATAAGGGTGATGACTGTGAAAGAATGGTTGTTTTCTCACCTCTTTACTTCTGAGTGCGTATAAACTAGAGGGATAAGAAGACAATGAAAATGAAGCGGGCATAAAGAAGAAGGACGTCAATGGACTTAGACTCATTTCCCCAAGGTCACCCGTTTCTTTCCCGAATGACCTTTTTTATCTACGCCCGTCTGAATGACTTTTTCTTCTACGATTTCTTTTCTTCGTCTAAGTTGCTCCTGACGACAGGTGGCAAGAATCTAGCTTGCCTGCTGTGCAGATGCTTTTTCCTTTTCCTAGGAGGCATCTGGGGCGGGGGTTCGTTGCCTTAGGGGCCGGCCCTGTTATCGATTCAGAGTGGACCGCTTTGCGAGGGGGTACCATGCAGTTGCGGTGGAGCCAGCCCGACTTTTGAGTTCCGGGGTTCCCTCGGGCGAGGACGAGGGGTATCCCAGACCACCTCCTAGGGGGATGGATAAAAACATCTTCACGGAAGGACTTTAAGTTCTTGTTGCCTTGCGTAAAGAGAAACTGCAATAGCACTCCTTTAGTGGTCATTCTAGGAGCCATTGACGTATGGGGAACTGGTGCCACAAGCAGCCCAGTTCGTGTCCTACTAGCCAAACGGAGTGTATTTAGATACTCCTGACGTGGCTGGCTGTGCCATAAGAAGGACGGGTCAGAAGGAAGACAAATGTCTTAGTAATACTTAGTTTTAACTTGATCACCTTTGTCTTCACTTCTTTCAGATGGCTGCGGGAACAACGGTCTGTTACCTTTTCCGAAATCGTGATGCAGCAGCGGAATGGGTCGAGTCCCAAAGACTTAACGGAGAAAGATTAGAGAGAATAGGACGGCTCGTCTACAACCCTTATGGATTATACTCAGAGGAAAATGTTCCGCGGTTCTGGGATGGCAGTGCCCGAAATCCTTTGGCGACTCATTTTCAGGCCAAGAACCGGTCTGGACATTCTTCACTACGAGTTCGCGCCACCACTGCCTGATCACGATTTCACCAACATGAACTTAGTAGTGATGCAGCTTTATGAGATAAACCCGCGAATGGATGAGATACCGAAGATAAGGTTGACGTTTGTCCGCTCCGTACTTTGGATGAACGAACGCCAAGGTCCATTCTTCGGTATATATCATGCGAGACGGGTGCGGGCAAACCGGTTCATTATTCTACGAGTTGAACCTTTGTCTGTCGTGTGTCTATTCAACGGGCAACGAGAAAGTTTCAACTCCGTTGTACCCGTTGAATAGCACCTGGGGCACCGTTGAATTCCCGTTGAATAGTACAACGGGCCCCCCCCATTGAATATTGTTCAACGGGGAGGGTGCATTGGGCCTCAGACATGGCGTTGGACGCACGTAAACCAAAAAAAAAAATCATCCCGTTGAATCCCGTTGAATCCCGTTGAATCACCGTTGAATCCCGTTGAAAAAAAAAAAAAGGACGTCGTCCAAACATTCCGGAAACAAACTATGTTATGCAGAAAAATAAACTGAACAACTTTTGCCTCAGGGTCACATCGAAAATCTTCACCAAAATTAAAATAAAAAA